GTAACTCTAGTATGTAGAGAGGAAAGACACAAGAAAGGTGTTTTATCTGAATGCAAAAACAAGCATAATTGGCCTTGAACATTTATTTTTAAAGGGATAATTGGTCTGAGTTGAGCATTTTCATATGCTTTTTCAAGCTATTCCTGGAATAATAAAAATACTTGGAATAGCTTAGAAATATGGAATATTGTTTATAAAAGACGATTACCTATGGGAACCAACTGTACCTAGGTAGTTCAGACTTATAATCATTGTTTCATTAATATTATGCAGAAACTGATAGAAATGGTGATTTCCAAAAGAATATAGAGCAAGAATGCTTGGATACTTGTGGATGGAAAAGAAAATCCATTGTATTGTCAACTCCACTCTAGAAACTTTGAAGCTGATGTTTTTTGTCTGTAATGTAATAGGAATATGTAGTTAATTTTCTCTTTTAGAATTCTAAGAACAATTGTCTGTTCCGGATGAATACTTAAATTTTAGTCAAGAAAATTGCTCAGGTACTATTTTTAGAAGTAAAGTTTTTGACACTAGAATAAATTCTTTTTGAGACTTTACCTAGTGCACGGATATGCAAATTAGTACATGTAATTTTGGAATACTTGATGTAAACAAATCACTTATAAGAATTAACAAAGAAGCATTAGGTCTAAGGGAGAAGTTATTGGAGGGCCTTTTTTTGATTTTCTGAATTTTTCCTCAATTTCTTTTTATAGTGTTTTTTTTGAATGGCAACTGATATAGTTGTTTATTGTTCAATATTAAAATTTTGACTATATGTACACACACATTTGGATAGTTTTTTCCATTACTTTGATTTTTAATTCTGTTATATAAATCTCTTAATAAATCTATCCAGTTAATTATTCCTGTCAAATACTAATCATTTAAGCCTCAGAAGTTCCACTTGATACATTTTTGATAGTTTTAACTTCTGTATCTGGATTTCCTATTTATGTACTTCTTGTTAATAAATATTTCTTAGATATTTAATAAATTCATACTGTTTTAAACTCCTTATCTCTAAGTTCTATCATCTGTCATTTTTGTTAATTCCTTCTAATTTCCTCCTTGCTATATATCCCATTTTTTCTGACATCTGAGTATTTTGTTTTTATTTTGAAAAAATATTATTTTTTTCTGAATCAGAAGTCTATCAGAGTTAAATTTTGAGTATTTTGCTTTCCATTGATCTTTCTAGATACAATGCTCAAAACTGTACAGGTAGCATCCAAAACCACATTTTGTTGTACGGACTAGGGACCCCCGAAAGACCACCAGAGACCACAACCAATGCAAACAGCAAAAGAGTCATTTATTGGCAAGCTTGAGCTTGGTCCTCTGCACACTTGGTAGCCAGTGACACTAAGAGATCCTGAGCACAAAATCAGCACAGCTTTTATAGCATTTAACAAACAAGTTTAGGGGATTCCCACACAAGCAGTTACATGATTGATTAACATTTATAAAAAATGAATAGTCATTTTTTTATTGGCTCATGTACCGAGGTTTGAGTCCACTCTGACCGCACTGCCCTTTATCTGAACTATTGGTCCATGTTTGACGGTTAGATGGTTGCAAAACCGTTATGTTCTGTTCCTAGAACACTGGGGCAATTGTTCTGTACCTTAAGGGTGGGCAGGGTTGATAGCAACCGAGAAATTTTTTTCTCTCTCTCTTGGAGTTACTCTGAGAGCAGCCTAGCACAAGATGGTGAGGTTAATCTCAAATTGGAGTTACTTTGGCTCGTCAGTTTTCTAAGAACTCCTTCAGAGCATTGGTGATTCTAATTTAAACCAAAGAATTTAAACATCAGGGAAAATCTAAGGAACAATGGGCTTCAAAAGTTAAAAACCAGGGGCTGGGAAGGTGGCTAAGTGGTAGAGCACTTGCCTTGCATGCACAAGGCCCTGGGTTCGATTCCTCAGCACCACATAAGCAAAAAGAAAAAAGCCGGAAGTGGTGCTGTGGCTCAAGTTGTAGAGCACTACCCTTGAGCTGAAGAGCTGAGGGCAGCGCCCAGGCCCAGAGTTCAGGCCCCACGACCGGACCCAAACAAAACAAAAACAAAAAACAAGCTGGGTGCCAATGACTCACACCTGTATTCCTAGTTACTCAGGAGACTGAGATCTTAGGATCATGGTTCAAAGCCAGCCAAAGCAGGAAAGGCTGTTAGAACCTTATCTCCAATAAATTGCTCAGAAAACCGAAGTAGCACTGTGGCTCAAGTGATAGAGGGCTCCCCTTCATCTGAAGAGCTCAGGGCCAGCACCCAGATCCAGAGTGCAAGCCCCACAACAAATAAATAAATAAATACTAGATCTCTTTTGAAACAGACTTTTTTAAACTTTTGATTGACTCCTGTCTGACAACTCCAACTGAACACAATACCTCCCAAAACCAAAACACATTATTTCACCTTAGAATGAGAAAACTACAAAATGGAATTTCTAAATTATTACATATATAAATACATCATTTTAATGTCAAAAATTCTACATTCAAGGTACAAATGTTTTCATAGTTTTAAGAGTCTATATCATTCTTCATTATTAGCTACCTTCATATTTTAAAATTGTGATCAATTACCAAGAGTCATTCTATTCATCTGCTCTGAACAGACAAGTAGGTGTTTGTTGGTATACATACAATATGTGTCATTTAAGAAGCCTAGGAATCAAATACTTCCCAAGGCTATCTACAAATTCAATGCAATACCTATCTAAATTCCAACCTCATTCTTCAAAGAAATGGAAGAGGTAATCCAAAAATTCATATGGAACAATAAAAGATCCCGAATAGCAAAACCGCTCCTCAACGGAAAGAACACTGCTGGAGGAATACCAATACCAAATTTCAAACTCTACTATAAATCCATAGTAATCAAAACAGCTTGGTACTGGCACAAGAACAGACCTCAGGACCAATGAAATAGAATTGAAAACCCAGAAATGAACCTACAGACCTATAGCCATCTAATCTTCAATAAGGGAGCTAAAAAAATAGAATGGAAGAAAGACAGCCTCTTTAATAAATGGTGCTGGCAAAATTGGTTAACTACTTGTAGAAAACTAAAGCTAGATCCTTATATATTACCCTGTACCAGAATCAACTCCAAATGGATCAAAGACCTCGGAGTCAAAGCAGACACTCTGAAAACATTACACGATGGAATAGGAGAAACACTAGATCTCCTTGGCGCAGGCCGAAATTTTCTGAATAGAGACCCGGAAACACAACAAATCAAAGAAAGGTTGGACAAATGGGATTCCATGAAGTTGCAGAGCTTCTGCATGGCAAAGGACATAGCTAGCAAGATCAATAGAAAGCCCATGGATTGGGAAAAGATCTTCACTAGCCATACAATGGACAAGGGTCTCATATCTAAAATATACTTGGAACTCAAAAAATTAAATCCCCCAACAACAAATCCTCAAAGAAAGAAATTCCCAATAAATAAGTGGGCGAAAGACTTAAAGAGAAACTTCTCTGAAGAAGAAAGAAGGATGCCCCATAGACACATGAAGAAATGCTCAACCTCCCCAGTCATAAAAGAAATACAAATCAAAACAAAATTGAGATACCACCTCACCTCAGTTAGAATGGCAAAAATCAAGAACTCTAATAACAACAGATGCTGGAGGGGATGTGGACAGAAGGGAACCTTACTTCATTGTTGGTGGGAGTGTCAACTTGTTCAACCACTTTGGAAAGCAGTATGGAGGTTCCTCAAAAGACTTCACATAGAGCTCCCCTATGACCCAGCAATCCCACTTTTGGGCTTTTACCCAAATGTTTACAAACAAGACCACACTAAAGCTACCAGCACAACTATGTTTATTGCAGCATTATTTACCATATCTAAGATATGGAACCAACCCAGATGCCCCTGAGTAGATGAATGCATCAAGAAAACGTGGTATATATACACAATGGAATTCTATGCCTCCATTAGAAAGAATGACATTGCCCCATTTGTTAGGAAATGGAAAGGCTTGGAAAAAATTAAGTGAAGTAAGCCAGGCCCAAAGAAACATAGGTCCCATGGTTTCCCTTATTTGCAATATCTAGTATATGTATGAGTCAAACAGAAAAGTTCAGATAATGTGATGTTAGGAAAATGAACCCTTAGATATGTATTTAAATGTTTCTTTTTCTTTCATGCATTTGTTTCTAACGCATTATTAAGATTATTTCTTTGTTGCTTTGTATGTCCCTCCTCCACAGTATAACCCCTGCTTTCACTGTATTTGATGTCGGTATAATTTGTGGAGGGGAAGGGGAAAAACAATTCATTTAAATAAGGATACAGATGGACCCGTTGCAATCATGAGAAGTACAAGTTGTCATGTAGAAAACGAATTTTACAACTTTGGTGGGGGGGAGGATTGGGTGGGGAGGCGGGGGGGGGGGGAGTGGGGAGGGAGGGGGAGGCTGGGAAGGGATGTGAAGGGTAAACAAAGGAGGAGGCTGCAATGCTTGATAAGAAATGTACTTATTATCTTGCCCATGTAATTGTAACTCCTCTGTACAGTATGTTCACAATAAAACAAATTAAACCATTTAACTATTAAAAAAGAAATGTACTAATTATCTTGCCCATGTAATTGTAACCCCTCTGTACAGTATTTTCACAATAAAAAAAAATAAAAATAAAAAAAACAAAAACAAAAACAAACAAACAAAAAACGAAGCCTACGAATCAAAAGGTGGGTTATTTATGAGAACATGATTTGGAATATTTTAGAATTCTGAAGTTCCTGAGTCTTATATCCAGAATCCAGTAGACATTATTCACGGGCTATTCATGTGTACTGAAGCATGTCCAGCATGCACACAAACTTTATTTGTTCAAATTGAGGTAAAACAGACAAAAACACTTAACAGAAGCTATGTACTTTAACCTTTTGCTGCTGACATAGTGTGCACTGAGTTTTAAGTTATCTCCAAAAGGAAACTGTCAAACCAATCTACCTTTACTTTGTCTTTAAAAAAAGGCCAATTATTTCAAATCCATTATTGGTAAAGAATATTCTGAAATGAAGGAAAAGTTTTTCCACATCAGCATTTTGTATTTAGTGAGATATAATTCTCATTATTTTTCAAATATAAAGCAAATTCAACCAGAGCTCCTACTATTATTGGGGGGGGGGGAGTGTAGGCAGCCCTGAACTCTTTAAGGCATTTTCTCTGTTGTGCGGCTTTCTACAATGACAAACACCAAGCTTCTTCTGTTAACATTTTAGGGAAATACGAAGTTCAGAACTAAAATATCTTGGGTGGTTTTTTGTGTGGTGGAAGGAGTGGGTGGTCTTTTGATTGTGATTTTTTGAGATTATTGTTTTACTCTCCACAATACAAAAGACAAACCTTGTTTACTGTACTTTGACTTGGTCAGTTTTATTTTGGTCTGCTGGAAACTATTTACTTATGATTAAAAATAAAAAAGAAAGCCCACTGTTCTATTACCATGTTGCTAAGAGATTTATATGCTATTTATAGAATGGACCATATCAGCTGGAATTAGACTCCTTAGAATCTATCAATGGAGAAAGTATCATTTAAAAAATGCTTTGTTAATCCAAATTACATGTTTTTTTTTTTTAAGTATGTAAAAACTGGTTATTTCTAAATGCTTTATTCCTTAAGCATTAAAGTAAGCCAGTGCCAAGTACCATTCTCACAATATTTTCTATATAACTGACCAGTGCTTATTTAATTAAACAAAGAAATACATATAAACAGTTACTGGTAGGTTTAAAAATTGCTGGGCTAAAAAACAATAGCATTGGAATGGAGTGCCTGTTTCCAGTTAAGTAAAATTTGATGGCTTAAGATGTTGGTCAAATAGACAAAGAATCAAGATTTAAATATTTATTTGTGTTGGAAGTTTGTAAATGTTAGCAGACTCTCTTTCCTGTGTCAATAATCTTATTTATGAGTCCTGGCAGTATTGTTTGTATTTTTAGGTCTTTACTGAATTCCTGGAGTGTTAAAAATGTATCCCTGTTAATAGACCAATATCATGTACTTCCTATACCATTGGAAGAACTGGTAGTAATTGTTTATCTCATAGCTTATTAGTTGTATATTCTCAAATATCTTTTTTTTTTACTCTGATAGAATTCTTGATTGCTTTTCAAATCTCTCCCAGATATACAGGTTAGTATCCGGTCAATCTAAAAAGTAGAAAAGAAAAACAGTGTGAAGGGATTTTTCTGTAAACGTTTCTGGAGCTTTCCAGGCACATTACTTTTTGCTCTGAATCTCTGCCATGAAATGCCAGATACTTCAATAGTCCAGAACTCCAATCTCTGCCAACTCGGTTCGTTAATATAACAGTATTGTGTAGAGGTTGGTCCAAATCATCTTGATTTAGTTTCAGAATGTCGATATTGGCTAGGAATAGGACCATTTATTCCAGGTTCTCAAATTTCTTATGCTTTCAACCAACTAGAGGGTGGTTGAAAGCATACAATTTTGGTGGCCACTATCTTCACTGTGCTTATTTTCCTTCCTTTAGGGATTGCTCTTCTTTGACCAACATGTTCAAAATAGTTCATTCCTTTCGGTTTAATAGTTGTTTGTGATGACAAGGTATATCAAAGCAAGGTATACCAAAACTAGTTACTTTTTCATAGGCAGAAATAGAAATATGAACCATTCATTCTTCATTTTAAATGTTTACAGAACAATATTAATGTAGCAATTTTAAATTAGTGAGAAAAGTATATGTTCCACCAAAAGTGGTGTTGAAACAAACTAGACCTCCATATATGAAAATGTTGAATTATATTGCTATCATAATTCTTATACTAAGGGAAAATTCAGATTAATTGAAATTTAAACACACAAAAAAATAAAATTTTGACAGCAAAAATGCAAGATGAAACACTGAATATTGAGGCCAGGTGCCAGTAGCTCATGCCTACAATCTTAGTTAATCAAGAAACAAATCTAATTGAGGCCAAAAAGTTTATAAAATCCCTTCTCAACAGAAAATGTTGGCTTTGGTGTAATACTTCGGTCATCCTAGCTATGGCAGGGAATTTAAATAAGATTATTGAGATCCAGGCAAGCTGGGCAAAAAGGGAGACCCTATCTCAAAAAGGAAAATCACTGGGGGTGGTGTGAGAAGTCAATCTTGACTTGCTGGCATGTACTATTCAGGAATCAGAAATAAAAATGCATGTACATGACTTCAAGTAAAGCACAAAGTAAGCAAACTAAGGGAAGGCATCAGTAATAGTCCAGTCAGATAATAGCTAGAAAAACAAATGACCAAGATTTTCATCTCTAAAGATCAACAAAATAACAAATTTTTTTTAAAAGCTTAAAAAAATAAAAAAGACAACAAAGTACTAGTATGGAGCCTGAAACTGCTCTGTGGGAGTAGTTTAGGATTTATACCCTCTCTCAGCCATCCAAATATGGGCAGTTGCTTTTATCTGCTTTTAGCAGGAGCCACTCACATGGACAACTCCATGAATAAAATACATGTACAGACTTGTGAAAGACTTGTTAGAAAATAGGACAGAAAGAGAAACTCTGTTCCCTTCTGCCTAAGGCAAGACTAGTGTAGCTGTGAATGTCTTACAGCCCAATTCAGCATGAAGACATGAGTTCATCATCCCCTGAGAGACTTCCAGTGTAGTGGGAAGACTAAAAATCCATACACCTGGTCCTAAACTACCTAGTATCTCACTTTGTATCCATAGACAGGTCAGAAAACACATTGTATTCACTGTTAAAGGCATGGCATGGTTATCAACAGTGCCATATGGCTTATCAGCCCAGTAGATATTCCTAGAAAGTCTGCCATCCACACCGAATTAGCATTCCACATGCCTGAGAATTGTCCATCTCCATCAGAATCCAGACAGTAAAGCTAAGCCATTGGGGGTTATTGCAGCTCCACAAGATCTAATTCTGCTTCATTCTAGCAGCTGCAACTGTTCCAGCACTTAAAGTGATCATACAGCACAGCACCCAGTATATATCCTGATAATCCAGTGTCCAAAGAAAGATTTAAAGAAAAGTGTGTTAGTGTAGAAAAGCCTTGTATTTCCAGAAGAGACCTCTCAAAAGAGAAATTTCATGCAACCAAAACATACATGGTTATCGGAAGCTCAAAGACTAAGGAAATTGTTTTGCCCTTGGAGCGGGCCTAGACTGTAAGGAAACCTCTCCTGGAAAGTTAGACTCATTTCATTAGCACTTAATGTAAATGGACTTAATTTTCTAACCAGAAAACACAGATTGTCAGATTAGTTTTAAGAATTTATTCTGTACAAAAAATACAACAAAGACACATATATACTAAAAGTGAGGAATGTTTTTGCTATTCAGGTCTTTTACTGTTCCATATGAATTTTTGGATTGCCTCTTCTATTTCCTTGAAGAATGATGTTGGAATATTGATAGGTTTCGCATTGAATTTGTAGATAGCCTTGGGAAGTATTGCCGTTTTCACAAGGTTGATCCTTCCAATCCAGGAGCATGGGAGGTTTTTCCACTTCTAAGTTCTATTTTGATTTCCTTTTTCAGGTTTTTTAAGTTTTCATCATAGAGGTCTTTCCCTTCTTTGGATAATTCCTAGGTGTTTTATTTTTTGTGGGGCTATTATGAATGGAGTTGCTTTCCTGATTTCAGCCACCCTTTACTAATTGTTGGCATACAGAAAAGTCATTGATTTTTGAGGGTTAATTTTATACCCTGCTACTTTGCCAAAGTTGGAATCAGCTCAGGTAATTTGGGAATGTAGTCCATGGGATTCTTTAAATACAAGATTATGTCATCTACAAAGAGGGAGAGTTTTACTTCATCTTTACCTATTTGGATCCCTATTATGTTTGCATCTTGTCTCATTGTGTAGCTAGGCATTCTAATACTATATTGAAGAGTGGTGGAGAGAGTGGACATTCTTGTCTCATTTCTGAGTTAAGAGGAAGTGGCTTTAGTTTGGGGCGACTGAGTATAATGCTGGCTGTAGGTTTGTCATACACAGCCTTTAGGGTATTGAGGAATGTTCCATAGATTCCTAGTTTTTCCAGAGCCTTCATCATAAAGAGATGTTGGATATTGTCAAATGCTTTTTCTGCATCTATTGAGATACCATGTGGTTCTTATCCTTGCTCTTGTTGATGTGATTAACTATATTAATTGATTTGCATATATTGAATCAGCTTTGCATCCTTGAAATGAATCCTGTTTTTTCGTGGTGTATGATGTTTTGCATGAATGTTGAAGTTGATTGGCCAAAATTTGGTTGAGAAGTTTTGCATCGATGTTCATCAAAAAAATGGGTCTATAGTTCTCTTTCTTTGATGAGTCCCTGTCTGGTTTTGGGATGAGGGTTATGATGACTTCATAGGAAGAGCTCAGTAGTGAACTTTCTCTTTCAATTTCACTGAAGAGTTAGAGGAGTATTGGGGTGAGCTCTGCTTTGAAGGCCTTGTAGAATTCCACTGTAAATCTTAGATGAGAGGTCTCTTATTGCTATTTCTATTTCAATGCTTGATATAGGCTTGTTAAGTTGGTCCAGCTCATCTTGGTTTAGTTTCAGCATGTCGATATTTGATAGGAAAAGGTCCATTTCTGCCAAGTTCTCAAACGTGTTAGCATAAAGGTTTGAGAAGTATTGCTTTACAGTGTTCTGAATCTTGGTTGTTTCTCTGGCGATGTTTCCATTCTCATCTCTTACTTTGTTTGGTTGTGTTCTCTTCTTTTTCTGATAAGATTTGCTAAGGGTCTGTCAATTTTGTTAATTTTCTCAAAGAACCAACTCTTTGTTTTGTTGATTCTTTCTATGTTTTTTTGGATTCTGATTCATTTAATTCTGAGTTAATTTTAATTATTTCTTTCCATCTACAGGATTGGGGTTTAGCTTACTGCTCTTTTTCAAGGAGCTTCACATTTCTCACTAAATTGTTGGTTTCAGAGCTCTCCACTTTGTTGATGTAGGAACTCAGAGCTATAAACGTGCATCTGAGTACTGCATTTGCTATGTCCCAGAGGAGCTGGTAATTTGTGTGTTCATTTTTGTTGAATATCGTGAACATTTGAATTTCCTTTCTAATCTCTTTCATGACCCACTGGTGATTCAACAGT